AACACACGCATAATAAGTGTACAACAGATGGAGCTCTGACAGATCTATAGGTGAATCAAACTTAGTTGCTAGTAGGAGCAGCAACCTTGTCTATAAAGGTCGCCAGTTTTACATCCCTCTGTGACAATCCATTCACGTCGTGAGACGACAAAGTAATATTTACTTTATTGTAAACATTGAACCATTCAGGATGGTGGTCCATTTTTTCAGCCTGTAAAGCTACTCTTGTCATAAATCCAAAGGCCTAAAAATTGAAACATAATGTCAAATAACTGGGCAACAAGGTCATAATAATTGTAAACAGCAATATTCATGCAATGTACCTCATTGAAGTTTTTGAATACAAACTCCTTGTAGATTGCATCTCTGTTCGCTTGGACAGTCCATCCCGTTGATAGCAATGAGCTCAAGTTTTGCTCTCTTTCTTCCAGAGATAGTTTACTCTGATAAAAGTCAACAAATTTACATAAATTATCATAATTTTTTTTTATTATAATCAAACAATTTGACTAATATCCTTTTGTTCATTATTTGTAACATACGATAATCTAATCTTATTTAATATCACTCAGAATGTATGCAAATAAGACAAGATTTGTGTAACAAGCAGTAACAAGTGGCTGCAGCCTTTATACAGGGTGGGCCATCTATTGGTACGTTTTTAAAAATGCGATCAAATGAGCATACATTGATATTTTTTATTAATTTTTTTTTTGTTGTGAAGCTAAAAGTATCCGCGTCTTTGTGCAGTATTCTCCTCAGGCTGGTGCGACTAATGCTCAGTTGCTGCGATCGGCGTCGAGTTGAAGTCGTCGGATTCTGTCTCACACTTTGGGCCACAGCCTCAATATTCTCGGGTGTGCGCACTGTCCGAGCTCTGGGACCACTTCTGTCATCCACTAACATCCCTTTCTCACGAACTTTCCTCACCAATTTGCGTATAGCTCCTTCGGTGGGTGCTCTATCACGACCCATATTTCTTTTCAAAATTCGTACAGTTTCGGCGACACAGCACTGACTTTGAAAATAAGTTTTTAAAATTTCAAAACGCTCTTCAAGAGAAAACATGTTGTTTCGTGCCGCGGACGGTATGACTAATAAACTGTCAAAATGTCGGGTCTGTAGCTCGTTTGGTGTTGCCATACGACGAAATTCAAAAACGTACCAATAGATGGCCCACCCTTTATCACTTTCACCACGAAGGACTCGCCTAACAGGTGGATTTGTATGTACGTCTTAATTACTCTATCGGAATTCTTTTTGGTCTGAACAATCTGCGAAATCGTCGACAAATCCAAGGACTTACCATCTTGATTTTTCTCGAGACAGCGGCGGATAAATCTCTGCGATCCAGAATGCGCGATATGCACTTTCGAATGTGATCCCCTCCACACGCTCGCCTGGTCAATACAGCTATCATGTTATGTCGAAAACTCGCTCTCTATGTAGTTTTAAGACACGATTTCTTGCCGTATCACGATATCGCAATTGTGCAACGGACGTGATAAATAATTTTTTTCGGTGGGAGATAGGACAGACGAATTAATTTCTAATATAACATAACCTCTTGTTTCGTTTAGCATTTAAGGTCTTGTCGTATCAAGCTTAATCAAGCTCCGTATTAAGATTAAGGACGAATATTGATACATACTTAATCAAAATAAATACTTATACAGATAATTTTGAAAAATAAAGAAATCATTTTTCAAATATTATTATTCTTCAAATAAGATATTTTTATAAAAATATTTCCTTTATTTAACTCTTTGACAAAAGTGTTTATATACATTTGTATATAGAAAGTTTTTTATTCTATTAATATATTTAATAAAATGTTTAAAAGTACTTTGTGTATATTTTAAGGTAAGAAATAATTGTTTGGATATGGGCGTAATTAGGATTTTGTTTAGTCAGGAGTGGGCAAATTAGAGTTGAAAGTTTTGAACTCTCTCTTTCTCTCTCTTTCTGTCAAAGGAGGAAGATAGTCGAATGGTGTGGAATATTGGACTTGTTTTATTTTATTTATTTTATTTTATTATTTTTAATTAATTATTAACAAGTAAATCCCAAAATTGCACGTTTAATTTATCAATTTATTTTTCTCTTAAAAATTGTATATTAATTTTTCAAACTGAAAAAACTAGCCGTTATATATTTTCAGAAAATTTCCCTCTATCTTAAATTCTGTTTTCTTTTTCAAAATTAATTTCTTGTGAACAATTATTAAGTATAGTCTGTTTAAAAGGTTTTATTTGGTTATTTTATTTTTTAGTCTTTAAAATTTAGTATCCTCTCTTTGGCTATATATAGGTGTTTATATATCTTTTTATCTATAAAGGTCAAAAAGAATTCGTATCAGCATGAGAGTATAAAGGTGTATTTCACACATCTTTGAGACGCCAACATAATTTTATCATATTTTAATAAAATGTTTAAAAATATACTAAACTTTTTTCTTTTTAGTTTTTTAGAAAAGATATTTCAGAAGAAAAGCTTCAGAAAAGATTTGAAAATGTTAAAATAATTAATTTTGATACTGATAAACTAGACTATTTATCAAGACTATTTATAATTTAACGAAGTCACTGATTAGATCTCGCTGATTTTTTTGTTTTTTTAACAGGAGACACTGGTGGTGGCATCGGAACTTTAAGCATGATGATTTTCTTATCCTCTTTAGAGGACACTGCTCCGATAAGTTTTGTGAGACCCATTAACTTTTTTAGACTCGTTCGCTTTTTGAACATAAATCGGAACATTTCCAAATCCAGTGTGAAATTTGATATCGCCAGTGCGAGAATCAAGCTGTGTACAAGGCCTTTGTCTGTCATAAAGTTTGGCCGCAACCTGTAAAAAAAATTTTGTTGAAATTTTATCCGTGATTAATACAAGTGATGCTCACTCACCGTCCATTTGGACCGGATATGCTGTACATGTCGATAATATGCTGATTCACTTCCTCGGAAATCGAGCATATAACAATGTCGCGTTTTCTGGTGATTTTCATAGCAAACCATTCATTGATCATTTCAATATAAAGCAAAAGGGCGATTTTGTTCACTCTGTCAGGATCCGATTGCATAATTTTTAAAGTGTGTTTGAAAAATTCTGCCTTCCTATGTAATCAAAGAAACATACAATTTCTGTATAATTAAGATGCATAAGATTTTAACACTGATAAAAAATGTTGTTAAATACTCTTTCATGTCTTCATCAGTAATCTTCATCGCATGTTCATGTAACATTTCCAATTTACTCCTAGGAATAATATCATATACATTGTATACATCTTTGACATTACTCGCATTCCTATTACATACGGGTAATATCGCATTTAAGCAGTCATCATTTGGTAATTCACTCGATAAATCTAGCCTATTGATTTCAACATCTGTCAAAAAACAACTCAGTGAGTTTTTACACAATAAATATTGACATACTATCACTAAGATTTAAATCTAGTAATTAGATATTATTTGAGAAATCAATTATATAATAACATAAAGGAAAAAAAGAACTCTCTTACTTGATACTGCTTTTTCAAGTTGTTCCTTAACACTCTCGACATTCACTTTTAGCTTCTCAAATTGCTCTGTTCTACGTTTGATTTTCTTGGATCCAAATTGTTTATTCAGTATTGTAATTTTATTGTCCATGTCATTGGTGTTGTTCTCATTGTCAAGTTTTTCAAGTACTGGTGCTACTTCCCATCTTTCGGCTTCAAATAATCGAACCTTGCCAGTCCTCTTATTATGAAGTACCAGCATCGTCCGGGTTGATTCTTTCTTACAATCTGGCCTATTACCTTTGTAAACAATGTGTCCATTTGACAAAGCTAATACAGTTTTGTTGTCCTTTTGCTCGCGATACAAGCCACATGATATCTCCTTGATTTCTTCATCTTTAAGTTCACCATTTTGGAAGTTAACTGTACAACAAATTTATGAATTAAAATTATGCTTAAATTAATAAAAATAATAATTGTTGGATAAAAAAAATTTTGTATAATAAATAATTGAGATAAGAATGTAATAACGGAATATATTTGTTGCAAGACATGTATAAAATATGTTAATATATAATTTTTAAAATATATAAATAAGATATTGTACATTTAAATATGAATAATATTATATAGTATAGTTAGTATATAGTAACGTGAAAAAACCGTTTATCTTACCAATAATTGGCTGAATTTTGTTTGACTCCACAATAACATCTTCGATAATTGCTTTGAGTTGCTTCATTTTTTATTTATTCATTCATTCATATATTTTAGCGAATAACTATATTATTAAAGCCAGTATCTCATGTTGTATAATATATTAACACTATTAATCTTGTCTATTTAAATTTAAAATGTTGCTTTTCGTGCGACACATAGGTTAAGATCGCAACGTGATAAAACGTTACAACATACGTTACTACTATTTATATTGTGCGCAGCGCGTTTGCACAGTTTTCTGTTGATTGGTCGTATATTCGTGGCATGAAAGCCAACTCTTAAAAATCGTGGCAATTACAAATTAAGGATATACCCAAGAACTTTTATTCTTTCCCTCGATTACTTTTCTAGAATTTCCAAAAATTCAAATTATTTTGTCTTTATGTCAAATTTAGTTGTAAACAGACTTAATTATGTCGTTAATCGCGCACAGACTATGAGCATTAATGTAAAAAGGTGATCATTTCTCAGTTTGTGAAAATTTCCAAGGGAAAGAATCGAAGTGTACCTGTGTCCTTGGATGTACATTTACTAAAAAGTCTTCTCCAGTCCTCTCCGAGGAAAATTTATGTTACGTGTACATATAGTACACGTAACATATACAGAGTAAAGTCTTCCTCGGAGAGGATGTTTTGAAATGTGGCCTAGAATTAGAGAAACGTAAAGTTATTTAAAATCATGAGATGAAAAGTTATAATTTAAAATGTAAACTAAAAAGTAATATGTAAAATTTTTGGCAAAAAGAGATAGCAAATGAAAAACCTGGTTAGCTGTGCTACATTGTTGCTAAATTTTGGAATAAAATGTGATTTATTTTAGTCAATAATTTTTTTACTCATTGAAAAATTTAAATGCAAAAAAAAAACAATTGTGGGGATCTTAGAGCGACTTTAATTAAATTCAAATTAACTTTATCAGCGATTAATTCAATCGACAGAATTATTTAAAGCAAAATTTCTAACATTCTATATTTCTATATAATTCCGGGCGTTTCCTAATTTAATCTCTTTCCTATTTCTTAAATAAGAACTAATTCTATCTGTATTAAAAATTATATTCATAATATAAAATTGGAAATAAGTTTATATTAATAAATCAAATAAGGGCTAAATATATGATAACAGCTAGATGTTATTTTTATGTAAATTTTTCCTCATTTCTACTTAATGTAGATTAATCTTTAATTTATTTTTTAGTTCTAAGAATTAGAAAAGGATGAAAATTAAATTAAACCGAGATTAAAATAAATCTACATTGATAGAAATGTACCCGGTTCCACCAATGTAGATTATCTTTCATCTCGATTTACCTACTGTTTATCTTTTTCTAATTCTAAAGTTAATCTTATATTGGCATGCCTAATAGATATTATTATTAGTATATATATATATATATATAAAATCTACAATACTTATAATTTAAATTGATTAAGTTAATTAGAATTTAGCTAAAGTCATCGTTATTACTCCTAAATAAACTTTAATATTTTCATTTTGCGTTTATCAAAATTTTATTTGAAAATAAAAATGTTATTTTATATTTAAAGTTTTATAAACAGTAATGAAAAGTAAAAAATTATTCTACGTGAATATGATTATAACAATTGATGACAATCCCTGATATGTAATCATTCAAGTTTAGAAACTAATAATATAAGACAAATAAATTTTAAAAATATTTTATTATATACAATGTACTCATAACATGTTAATCTCTATATCATCTTAAATAAACCTCGAATATATACAGCTTTCCTATCTACTTATTTCATATATAATGATAATCATAAATACACGCAATCTTAATTTCTATTAGTATTCATAAAATTTACCTTACATTTCATGTAAACATAAAAAAAATACATATAAGAAAATGTTAAAATATTTAGAAAATAAAGTTTTTTTACAAAATTTTAATAGGATTTGAAAAGTATAAGATAACACTTACTTTCTGTGTTAATGGTTCTAACGTTTTAATCACTATCTCATCATTTAATCATTATTAATCATCTATGGATATAATTTTATATGTAAAGAAAATATCCAAATAAAAGAATATAAAGGAGAAACATGCATTTGAATATCGTTACCATAAAGTTTTAAACATAAATTAAAAAATAAGAAAAATTTGAACTCGTTAATTTGTGCAGTTTTGAACTTTTTCAGATCTTTCAGAATTTTGAAGTATAAGTAACAATCTATTTTCAATATTATTCGATTAGCAAGTCATATTCTTCGATTTCCTGGAATGTACTGTTAACTGTTTTTATCCATTCGTTAATTTTTTTCTGATGCTCTTTTTCTAATTTTGTAGGTTTCTTCTTCTTTGGTTGTAATTCGACATTTTCATTTTCTTCTTCATTGTTATCTTCTGAACAATCGAACTTCACGGCACGTTTCCTCCTGTATGAATGTTGAGGTGGCTATAATATTTTAGAGAAACAGTTAATGATATAAAATATTACATATATATATATATATATAAACAAAACAATAAACAATAAATAAAGAGCAAAACAATCAGAATGTTCGTCGCAAAAATCATATATTTAAGATGGACAAATCATAGCTGAAATGTTTATGTTTTTATATTGTTAACGAGTAATATCTTAAATATATAACTTTTGTGAACATCCTGTGTGTGGTTGTTTTGCTATTTTAATTTTTGTGTATTATTAGTAAGCCACGTTTTGGCTTATTTTCGAAAAAAGAATATTAATAAATACCTTTGAAAAATGTGAAGGTTCTAAATCCATAAACAAGGGAATGTCATTTTCAGCATTTGATATTTTTTCACTTTCAGACAACATATCAAATGTGTCCGAAAAATCAAGAACATCTACGAGTTGTTTCTTTTGCTCTATAAGCGACTTATTAACTTCAGTATGCATTGGCTCTACTGTTTGTTTGTTATCCCCATTAACAACATTATTATTAGGTCTTAATAATACATTCTTTATTTCTCCCAGGGATATTCTAGCAGGTGCTGGTTGTACAACAGATTTTTGTACAACTGCCGCTCGAAGTTTCTTCTGAAGTCGTGGAGTCTGATTCTCTGAAATTGGAAGTTTCTTCTGAATTACGTGCTTTTTGCGAGGACTGACAGATTTCTTTTTTCTTTTTTTGTCTCTTCGGTCTATATTTTTTTTATTCGTATCTATATTTTCTTTATCTATTTCCATGTTCTCCTTATTTGATTCCATGTTCTCCTTATTTGATTCCATGTTCTCCTTATTTGATTCCATGTTCTCCTTATTTGATTCCATGTTCTCCTTATTTGGTACCATATTTTCCTTATTTGATTTCATATTCTCTTTACTTGATTCCATGTTCTCCTTATTCGATTTTATGATCTCCTTACTTGTTTCCATACTCTTTTTCTTTATTTCTTTATTTCCTTTCTTTGTTTCAAAGTCCTTATATGGTGTACTTTGAATAAAGTGTTTAGTTTTAGAGAACGTTAATATTGGAGGTCGCCAGGGACTTCCAAAGTCAAAAGTACTTGTCGTCTTTACGATAGGGGATAAAGTTTTCATCAATATGGTAGATCTTAATGTGCTGTTGTGTCCCTTTGATAAGGTTTTATTATCAAATATATTCTTGGGCCGAAAGGGCTGCACATCAGTTTTTTTAGGTGAGGATGTAGTGACTATAATATTATTTGCATCTTCAATAGATATAATTCTTGGCTTGCTTGTATTTTCCTTTCTAACTTGCTCTGTAAATGTGCCAGAGAAAGTTGTTGCTTCATGAATATTTATGTCTACTCTTGGTGCTTCTATGTGGTCTCTAGTATTATCTAGAACTTCTATCGTCTGATTATCTGCATCTATTCTTGGTGGTTCAATCTCTTTCTCAATATTCTTGTTTATTAATTCTTTCAGTGTCCGAATATCTTTATTTATTTCAATTTTCTTCACATTTTTTCCTTTTGTTGATGTTGTAGCCACCACAAATTCTAAAGGAGAATCATTCTGTATAATCTTCACAGAAGGATCTGCATCGATCTTAGGAGATTCAATTATTTTATGACTACGTGTTTTTGCAATAACTTTCTTACGTGTTGTTCTCTTGGTCGTTTTGCCTTTCTCTTTGTTAACATTTCTTTTCCTCAGTTTCTTTTTAGAGGCTTTTTCTTTAGTATCGTTTGAGTCAAACTTAAAATCATACACATCTTTCTTGTCTTCTGAGGATTTCTCAAAAGGTTCTACAGCTTTGTATACAGGTACTTTTTTACTTTCTACATTTTCTTTCAGCTTTTCTATTATCACTATACTGTCCTGTTGTTTTGGTGAAATGAATTGCTGCAGTAATCTTGAGTCTTCACAATAATTTTTTCTAATTTGACGAGGACGTAAACGTCTCACTGGTGTTCGACTGTTTCTTAGAGATATACTTTCCTTTGATAGGTGCAAAGTTTTATTTTTTGCACTAACATTGACCTTCTTTAAATTTTTATTGATAATAACGGCTTTTCTTTCGGGTTTAAGCTTCCTTTCAGCTGCAGGCTTGGCAGATATTTCACGAGATTTCAGACGAGTAATACGCTGGGAGACTGCAGCTGGGGCCTTTGTGCTTTGATTTCTGCGCATCTAGAAATATATTTAATATGTAGATTTACTTTAGATATTAATAAAAAAAAATATCAAAAATATGGAAAAATTATGAAATTACTCTCGATGCAGAAGACTTTGTGATGTTTGTAAACTTACTTCGGTTATGAAGTAGGAAACGTTATGCGACTGTAAATTAATGAGTAACTACTTCGTAAAAATTTAACGAATGCCTGCCGTATCAGTTACCACACTGAACGTATTACGTGACGGATGATAACGTGATATCGCATAAATCTGCATTGCACAATTGCTCTTGAAGTTAAAATTATCAACTTTTTCTTCTCTGAATTCCTACTTTGATTTCCAACTCACTACGAAAATTGCGAAGTTTCAAACCACATCACAAAGTCGTCACGGCGTAAAACAACGTAAAATATCGTAAAATGGCGAAATTGAAACATAATTGCCAACCTAACACATCTTCCGTATTTAGCAGGTATACCAATCGACAGCGTGTCAACAAGTCTGTTCGTTTTAATTGCATTTTATATTATTAATTTAAAACGAATTTATAAGTATAAAAACATGAATTAAATTAAATTTATAAAAATCTATATATATCCAACGCTCCAACATGCTCCAATATGCTCCTATTATAGCTTTTACTCACTCCAACGCGCTCGTTAGAATCTTTGACTACGTTCTAAAACTTCCTCTCCGAGGAAAATTTTACTCGGAAATATATAGTATACGTAACGTATACTGTAGTATAGTAAGTAAAAATCTTCCTCGGAGAGAAAGTTTTGGAACGTAGCCCAAGTACAGTCATAAACGGGGCACAGACTTTTGCATGGCTATTTTAAAATAAGCCATTATTGTATATCATAAATCAGAAGTCAGAAGTTAAAAATTGACAACTGTAATTGGTCAATTTCCAGTTTCTAACTTCTGATTTATGACTAATGACTTATTGTAGAATGCGTATAACGCGTAAAACATGAAACATAAGAAAATTAACCAATCAGACTTCTTTATTTAAAAAAAAAAGGAAGGAAATAAAGGACTTTGATTGGTTCATTTTCTTATGCTTTATGTGTTATGCATTATGAAAGAGTCTGTGGTCCCCTCTTTAGTGGCCATTCAGAAAAAATAAGAAATTAGGAATAAAGAATGAACAATTTTAACCTATCAGAAATCGGATACATCGGAATAGACTATTGAAATCGTTTATTCTTTATTCCTAATTTCTGCTATTGTGCGCAGGGCCTAACAAGCATAATTGAGCAATACGAACGAATTTAAGGTTAGTTTAGAACAATTAAGAAATATCTATACTTTATTCTGACCAGATTGGACGAGATGTATGAGTTGTTCATTATTTTAGAGCATTGAACGTTATAACAATCTTATTATCGTTCCAGTTATTTATCGTTTTGTTCATAAATATTTACAAAATTTCGTAATTGTTTTACAAGAATTGATAAATATTGCGAAATGCGAAAAATACAAGGGTAATTCAACGTCGAGCAAACAAATTTTGTGTAATTAATTTTATCTGTGTAATTTATTCAAAATAATTGAGAAATGGCCGACGAAAAGTCTGTGGTGCAAGAATTTAAATTAGATCCAGATTGCGAATTGAGGTTTGAACTTGAGAGCAAAAATGAAAAAGTTACATTGGAGGTAATAGGACATGATTTTTTTATAGAGAATTTATTTTATTTGTTATTAATTTTTGTTATTTTATCACGTAACATACAATTTTGTCATTACAGTTAAAGAATGGCTTGGCAGAAGTTTTTGGGACAGAATTGGTAAAAGGGAAAAAGTATGAGTTTAGTGCTGGTGCAAAAGTTGCAGTCTTTACTTGGCAGGGCTGTACTATTGAATTAGTTGGGAAAACAGACGTCAGCTATGTAGCAAAGGAGACTCCTATGGGTCTGTATTTAAATTGTCATGCAGCAATGGAGCGAATGAGAGAGATGGCAGAGAAGGATGACACTAGAGGGCCAATAACAATGATAGTAGGACCTTGCGATGTAGGAAAGTCTACGCTTTGTAGAATATTATTGAACTACGCTGTTAGAATGGGCAGAAGACCAATTTTTGTTGATCTTGATGTTGGTCAGGGACATATAGCGATTCCTGGGACTGTGGGTGCTTTGTTGGTAGAACGACCATCCAATATAGTGGAAGGTTTTAGCCAGCAAGCTCCACTGGTCTTCCATTTTGGGCACAAATCGCCACAAACCAATGTAACACTATACAACTTACTTGTAACACGTTTAGCAGAGGTCTGCTCGGATAGATTACAAGCCAACAAAAAAGCCAAAGCATCGGGGATTGTTATAAATACATGCGGCTGGATCAAAGGAGAGGGTTATAAATTGCTCACTCACGCTGCACAAGCATTTGAAGTGGATGCGATTCTTGTATTGGATCAAGAGAGACTCTACAATGAATTGGTGAGAGACATGCCAGACTTTGTGAAGGTAGTCTTTCTGCCAAAGAGTGGCGGAGTTGTTGAGAGAAGCCAGGCGCAAAGAAGTGAAGCAAGAGATCAGGGTGTTAGAGAATATTTTTATGGTTCACGGACACCACTGTATCCACATAGTTTCGAGGTAAAGTGGAACGAAGCGAGATTGTACAAAATCGGAGCACCTGTTCTACCAGCATCCTGCATGCCATTGGGCATGAAGGCAGAGGATAATCTGACAAAACTGGTGGCTGTTACACCGGGACCCAGTTTGCTGCATCATTTGCTGTCTGTTTCTTTTGCCGATTCTCCTGAGGATGACGTCGTACAGACTAATGTAGCAGGATTCGTTTGTGTGTTAGTATACAATATTCAATAATCTGATATTTATCATTATTAACCTTTCATCTATAATTTGGATCTTTTTTTGTTCAGTCCAACTTTATTTACTCCGTTTTAGGTTTTTTGAAAAATATAAAAATTCAGGATTTTTCATCTCTATTACATTGGCAAATAATTTTCTCAATTATTTTAGGAGGGGAAACTATTCTTCTTTATTCTACAGAAATTCGAAAGTGAAATTTCGCCGAAAAAGATCCAGATTGTAGACAGAGGATTAATAATCGATATCATTTTTCTTATGAAGATATATTTCTTATTTACAGGACTAATGTGGACGTTGAGAGGCAAACATTTACAGTACTTAGCCCGCAACCTAGACCATTACCAAATACAGTGCTGTTATTGTCGGATATACAATTTATGGACAGTCATTAGATTTAGACTATTTTTTATTATTATAAATAAAGTAATAAAAGTAAATAGTGAAAAAAAAAAATATTTTTGATGAAATTGTCAATTTTTATCTGGCGCTTACACGAAGTTTAGGAGTTTAAGATACAAAAATATATCATGCAGCATTTTGAATATTCGTATAAGTATTTGTATTTAATATTTGAAGAATAATTAAGAAATACAAAACAAGACAATTTCAAACAGAATTTCCATGTGTTTACAATATTTTTTCTTCTTTTTAATTTTCTCTATACTTATACAGTGTAAGTTAAATAATTATGTTCAATATATACACGTATGAACACTGCATAAGCTCATTAACTGTCCCAAAATTTTTTAATTACTTTATATGACAACATTCAATAAAAAATTTTTAATGCATGAATATGTATAAATATGTATAAATATACATAAACACACCTAAATATTTATAAATATGTACAATTATATATGAAATATGTCCATACATATTTATATATCCTTTTTCTTTTGTACAATTACTTTTTAGTGTAATAGAAATAATAATAGTAATGTGAAAACATTAAAAATAATTAAGAAGGTAATTTTCGCAACTGTTTGTTTTAGAAAAAATCAAGTTTGAAGAAATGTAAAAAAAATTACTTACGTATAATTATATATAAAATTATACATAATTATGTATGAGCAATTTTTTTTACATTTTTCCAAATTTTTTTTCTAAAACAAATAATGCGAAAATTATCCCTTTAATTATTAAATGTATATTTATTTCGCTTCAATTGATTACATTGTGTGCACCAGTTCAGTGAGTATAGAAATAAACGACAGATTTATTATTATGCTTTATATCTAAAATAAAATAAATATGTATTGAACAGGAGAAAAAAATATGAAAAAGTATAAAAAGTTCAATGACAGAGAGAACAAATCTAAAAGTGAACTATTGTACTTAATTATTCTTTCTATTATCCAATTAATTATTTGCCTATTTTAGTTTGAAAATAAAAAATATGAAATAATGCAACTATAAAGAACAAATCTATCTTAGGTCCTATTTATTTTATTCGCAAATGTTTTATTCTTTCTGTATCACATTTCTTTAAAAAAAAAAAAAAAACAGAGAAGAGAGAGGTATAACTTAAGAAGCACTTGACGCGTCCCCTGAAGAAGAGAATAGATGTGATCGATGTTATCACATATTGATACGCACATATTTACGAGCTGAGAAGATAAGACTGAAAACGAGCGTAATGCACGATGTCATTAAAATGATGATCGATATTCGCGAATGACTTCCTCTCTCTGAGTCTAATGTATTCGGACAACGTCGAATTCATATTGGTCGCATGTGATTCCACGTGTTCCGCAATAACAAGGTGATACCACGCAGCCGCTTGTATATAGATAGTGAAGGATCATCGGAGATATGATGATGTCTCTTTGACTCTTGACGAACTACGAGGACCGCCTTTTGCTCGGAATAATTCGATCGTCGATGAGTGACACAACGAGATAACCTTCAAGTACATGTGACATTTCGCGTAGAGCATATTTATAGCTTGATCAAGAGAAAGAAGGAAGAAAAAATCAGGATAAATTTAATTTTGTGAAAAAAATAAACCGAATGATTTAAGACAGAAGAAATAGGGATAGGTAACTATCTAGCACTGTATAACGTCAAAAGGTTGAACGCTATTATTCTACCATCCGGTGAGAACTTAGAAAAAAGACATTTCGCGTGTTTGTGTTTGTGATATCAAACTGCTTCTCGCGATGATACGCGAAAGAAACGTGAGATAGAGAGACGTTATTATATCTATTAATATCTGCTGATTTGTTGTGTCCTTTCTTAGTCCTTTCCTTCTGCATTGACAGAATATCTAGTTGAAAAGCAGATTTGCAGCAATTTTTGTTAATTAGTAGGTCGGATTTCTTTTTAGTTTAATAGGAGTTAATCTTTTTTTCTTTCCAATATAAAAAGAAAAAAGAATTGTGCAAGGAATTTAGCTAAAAAAATAGGTCACAAGGCCAAATGTATGATTTTATAATTTGCTAATTTTATTGATAAGCTGAATTATTGCTTTATGATTCATTGGTACTTATTTTTTACAGATTCTCTTAAAACATATATCCAATAATGCTGCGTCGATTGCGTATTAAAGCTTTGGCTGCTGTGCCAGTTCGAAAAAAGCCTACGCAGAATTCAGCAGATTCTACTGAAACTAACAATGACATTGATAAGGAAAAGAATGAAGAAAACATATCTAATATCAATGAGACAGAACAAGAAATTATTAAAGATGTTGCACAAGTAAAAGAACAGAAAGAAAAAGATGTGATTAAGACTGATATATTCGAACAAAAAGAACAAAAAGAAAAAGATACTTCCAGTATTGATGAACAAGAAAAACTAAAAGAGAAAGATATACCTTGTATTGATATACCAGAAGCTGCCAAAGATATTGCAAAGGTCGAAGAGGAAACTAAAAAGAAACAAGACAAAATCAATTTAAGAGAATCAGTTATAGTTAAACTAGATTCCCAAGAATTATGTTCTCCAATTAAATCATATTCTCGAGAGTTACATGCTCAGGCAAAATCAAATTCTCAAAAATCTCCATCTCCACTAAAATCAGACTCTCAAGAATTACATACTCAGGCAAAGCTAAACTCTCAAAAATCTTCATCTCCATTAAAACCAGACTTTCAAGAGTTACATGCTCAAACAAAGCCAAACTCTCAAGAGTTACATGCTCAGGCAAAGCCAAATTCTCAAAAATCTTCATCTCCAGTAAAATCAGACTCTCAAGAATTACATACTCAGGCAAAGCTAAACTCTCAAAAATCTTCATCTCCATTAAAACCAGACTTTCAAGAGTTACATGCTCAAACAAAGCCAAACTCTCAAGAGTTACATATTCAGGCAAAACCAAACTCTCAAGAATCTCCATCTATTGGATTCAAACTTGACAAAGTTACTGATCAATCAATTCAAAAAAATATTCTGCCATCAGATGTGTCTACAGTAACAGATATTGGTAAGATAAAAAGAAATTTAAATTGGGAGACACATGAAAATATTTTGATTATTATCAATATATCTATAATAATATTATCTTTAAGATTCTATAAACAATATAATTTCTTATAATTATATGTTCTTTAGTATACATATTTTTCAGTTTCTCCTACAAAGGTAATACAGAATCGTCCATGTTTTATGAGACCTACACCAAGATTGGACAGTAGCGGTAGAATAAGAAAGAACAGTATACAAGGAAGCGGTGCGAGCGCAAGTGAATCCGAGGATGAACACAGCAAGAGAGTCGCATCCGTCGTGCCGAACCGCGTACGAAATGATTCTGTCTGCTCTGTACAAAGCAATAAGGAAATTAATATTAATGATAATCAAAACAGTCCTCAGAAAATTAAAATAACGCAGAAAAGACGTACGCTAGTTTCGGAATCTGCAAGAAAGCTGGCCGAAGCTAGAAGGGAATTTTTACTAAAACACGAAAATAGAGCACCTGATAGAAGTCAATTGAAAATGTACGACTTGATATATTATAATCCAGTGACAAATCCTATGAAAACATTGTCAGTTGAACGTAGAGCTGAATCAGTAACTACACCACAGTAAGTATACTAAATTATAACGATTAAATATAAAACATCTATATAAGAATTTTATTGATTTCATTTCTTTATAGACCAGTGGAAATACCGGAAGAGGAAGACGAAGATGATCCATCGGCAATGCCCACGCCGCAAGTGAAAGTGGGTCCCGATGGTCAGTTGATAATAGATGAACAAAGCCTTGTGATAGAGCAGCCGGATGTGAGAAGAGATGAAGAAATGTTGACGAATAGTGTTACTATAGAAGATGATAATTTCCATAGCGGCGGTTTCTATAAAAGGCATAAGAGGAGCAAGGAATGGCCGAAATGGGAAACATTTAAATTTTATAGAGTTTTAAATGTAGTAGGTACGGATTTTCTATTGATGCAGACATGCTTTCCAAATAGAAGTAGACAAGAAATTAAACAGAAATATAAGAAGGAGGAAAGGGTTAACCGACAATTAGTTGAAAAAGCTCTCAAATATCATCAAGAATTTGATACTGATATGCTACAAGAGCAACTAGGTATGTTCCTTTATAGGTTTTTCTACTTTTATACATATTAATTGTGAAATATATAAAACAATGTTTGAGGATAAGTGTAAAAAAACTTCAACAAATTATTTGAAAGAGTATTCTCAAGTAGAAAAAGAAAAAAATATATATATATACAATACATTCTATTCTCAATACTATTATAATAATTTAAAGTTAATTGCTATGTCATAATAAAATCGCAAGCATTTTTTGTTTCGATTGTAATTGGTTGTATTCAGCACAAAAAACTAATTAGTGAGCGCTCAGTGATTTTTTAATATAATTAGTTTCTATACTTAGATCCACCGAAGAACTAATGGTAAAAACCAATTACATATTAGATTCTGACCGCTCACTGATCAATTTTCTTTACCGAACGCAGTTCAATGTTTTGACTAAAAATTATTTTATGCCATGTTTATGATTTTATTATTAATTGTAGTTAAATTTTAAATTGTAATTACGTAAATAATAAAAATTTTTCTATATTCTTGAAACATCTTTTGTATGTGTTTGTCCTTCAGGTTTTAATATATATTATCACATTATACGTTATAAACAAGCAAATTACAAAATATGTTTTACTTCTAGAAACACTACAAAATCTGGAAAATATACAAAACACAAACAAAAAAGCACCAGAGAAATCTAAGACTGGACAATCCTTGAGCAGAAATCAAAGAAAACGCAAGCGTCGTAAGTATAATATAATTTTAATTTTATAAATTAAATAATGTGATTAATAATAGTACAATAGAAAACTTCTTAATAAATAGAACATATTAAAGAATTATATTTTACGATTACATACATCTATGGAAAATTAATCCAAAACAAACAATTGCAGGATTAGTAGCGGAAAGTATTGGAGAATGTGGATCACTATCCAACGATTTAGAAGCTGAAGATACTATAGTATCGACGACAAACGATGAAATCGATATAGAAATTTGTAGCGATACAAATAACATTCCGCAACAAATGGCAAAGAAAAAAGCGCGGAGATCGAAAAAGCGTTCGGACGACAAATTCAATGATTATAGCTCTTGTACAGATGCTGATTCGGACAGTTCTGAGGAAGTTTATCAACTCAGACCGACTAGATCTGGCAGATTGTCGAAAAAGATAAGGAAGTTACAAGCGCCTGACTTAACTACACGTAATAATATAGAGAAAGAATTACCAGTAGACAACAAGATACCGTCACATGTAGCCGTGGAAATTACAGAATATGTAAATACACAAGTTACGAATAGCGAAAATACGGAAACGTCTTGTTCCGATAATATTATGTCGATGATACCAAATATTAATCAAATGGAACCAGGAGCCTTAGTAATCGTCTCGAAAGAATCTGCAGAGAGTCCTGGAAATACTATTTTACAAGTTTATATGGTTGCCTCCAATGACTCTAACACAACAGTTACATCTAGCACGGCTGGGAATCAGCTATCGAAGCCATCTTTGACCAATCAATCGGAAAATACCGAACCGATTGATATTGTGGATGATTCTAAAAAATGATCTTTTGCATTGCATTTAATTATAATCTAACTTTATATAAAGTTACAAAAATTGGAATATTCCTTAGGATAGGAGATATTAAATTTTGTTGTAAATTTATGTAAACTATGTATAAGATAAATTTTTATTTTTTTCATTTATATACATATGTATATATATATATATATATATATATATATATATATAAATGTGTAAGCAATTTTTTTATACTAATTGCAAATTATGTATAAAACATTTTCTATCTGTAGATATAGAGTTATTTTGCGACGAAACGGAGATTGTGTTAAATATGATAAGACTTGATTAATACGTGCAAAACGAGAGTCGTGTAATCTATTTTTTTTAATTTTTTTATCAGAAATCGATAGCGGAATTTTGTATATGCCTTTTTATTTTGCCATTCAATTTGTGTATTGAATAATTTTGATGAGATGAGAAAGAATGATAGCATAACAAAAAATATATTGCTCAAATTCTATATCTCTTCTGAATACATATTTCGTTTTATTTCTAATTATAAAAATATCAGGGCTGTATATACACACACACACACATATACACGTAATACATTGTGCATTTACAATCACTACTATTGAATAAATCAGCATGAAAATAAAAACAATTCGATTCTCTTGCAAAAAAAATATTAAAATGTATGTAAACACATCAACCATGAGTGGTTAGTTAAAGCATAGTGTTATGATAATTATCAGCATTAAAAATACTGCCATAAGTATTTTTTGTAAAATTATATAGCGAATATTAAATGGCTTTTAAATAAAGCTGCAGAATATATAAATTGCATGTAAAACATTGAGCAACTGAAATGCATTTATTTATTTTTGCAATAAAAATTGCACATATTATATACGGAAAGTGTGATGGTTTTATTATCTTTAGTATCATAATTGATAAAATGTACCCTTTTATATTTAAAGGATTACGCAAAATTTATTTTTGGCATTTTTGCACAAGATAAAATTTTTATTTTTGTTGCATTTGTGTGATAATAGTGATAATGATAATGATAACGTATTTTTTGAGGTTTTAATTTTTTAATTTAATCATTAATAGCATAATTCTATAGTATCACAAGGAATCCATTTTGAGCTTTCCAAAGCATCCCATAAATTATAATCTTGTTCAATTATTTCTCTGTTCACCTTATCGATGTCAATGGGGATCGAATGTTCTATAAAAAAAATAAAATATAAAATATTAGACTAGCATAGTCAAGATTGTTGAAGAACATGTGATACATATTTGTTTCCTTATATCATCATAAGAAGATAATAACATACCGATTAATTCTAATTCGTCTTCCTCAGGTTTTTGATCAGATACATAGCTATTGTAAGTGTCTGACGTCGGCTCGCTTTCATAGTAACCTTGTTGCCAAGCGCTGTAACTATTCCAGTATGATGATGTATCATAATAATTATATGCCTCTGAATTCATGTTTGATGCTGGATATTCAGAAGTTGATTGCGGTGGTGTTGAACTAAAATCATTAATTTAAAATGGACTGTAAAATTATTAATTAAATATTATAGATAATTCTTTCTCTACAGTATAATATCGAACGCGAATATTTTGTTCAGAATCATGGCTAAACAAAAGAATTTATCCTTTTTATAAATATATTATTTATACTTTTTAATGTACAGTTAATGCATAAAATAACATACCCCGATATTTTGTTCCAAGGTCTAGGCACTGCATTGCAGATTTTCAAAGATTTTGTTCCAAGTCCTCTATAGCCATTCATAGTAATTAGACTGTTTTTCTGTTCTTCTTCATTGGCAAACCTGACAAATCCATACCCCTTGCTGAATCCAGAACTGTCCAATATAACTTTAGCCGTTCTGATTGAATTATACTTTGCAGCAAATGCCCTATATAAGGAATAATCATCTACGTCAGTGGATAGATCGCCTACCCAAATACTGAATTCTCGCTCAGCAGCAGGTTTCCCAGTAGTGCTAGCGTGATTTAATCGGAATCGTACAGGCTATAAAACACATCAAGAAATACAATGTTTATTAACTCATTGCTAAAGCAATACTTGTCAAAATTTAGGTTTAGTATCTAGAATTGTCATTTTTGGTGTCATATATATATATATACCAAGAATTTTAACTGAAAAAATATTTCATTGACAGAAAAAGTTCTTAAAATATTTAATCTAAAAAATGAAGGTAGATACATTATGGCATTATATGACTTGGAAAATAAAATTTCTAAATCAATTTTAGAAGCTTAATTCTGTATAATAAAATTAAGGCAAAAAACTTATAATTTTTTTTCTATGAATTTTTTCTATCATAATGAAATAAGGAAAAAATTAAGATTTGTATAGGATGATTTTTTTCCTGGAAGTTAATTCAACTTAAATATTATTGTTATTATTAAGATAATAATTACTGCTTAAATATAGTGTAAAATATATATTGTACTTATAAAAGTTCTGTATTTATAGTGGAATTTGAATAAAAGATTTATAAATTTTTTTTTATAAAAATTATATAGAATGACTTCCTTACAAGAAGTTAACTCAACTTATTGTTAGATACTATTGATTGTTATTATTAAAAATAATAATTATTACTCAAATATAATGCGAGATATATATTGTACTTATAATTTTATATTTATAATGAAAACTCTTGAGTAATAGATTTATAGATTCTTTTTTTTATCAAAAATTGCAACTGTAACGAAATTAGAAAAAAGCCAAGATGTACATAAGATGGCTTTTTTCCAAAAAGTCAATTTAACTTATATATATATAGGTCTTATTGACTGTTGTTTTAAGCAATATTAAAAATAATAACTATTGCTTAAGCATAGCATAAGATATCATATTTATAAAGTTTAATGCATTACATATTAATACTTACAGGATTTGAACCAGGTATCACTTTACCATTCAATTTATGCATGGCATCGAGAGCCATTTCATCAGTTGGAAAATGTACAAAACAATATCCTGCAGGCTCTCCAGTGTATCGATTCCGCATAACTTTTACTGTTTGTGGTTGTTCACCCATTTTGTGAAATGCATTCATAATAAAGCTCTCTGTCATATATGGCTCCAACTACAATCAGATGATTTTTTAATAATAATACTTATGTTGTGTGGAATATCTGTGGATGGAGAATAATTTATTCTTCAAATTATTTAAACAATTTACTCACTCCACCCATCCATAGTTGACACAATACCATTGGCCCTGACATTTTTGCTGACTTTTTACAATCTATTTTTTTTCTGATAGTTATTTATCTTTTCTAATCTGATTGAATTTCGCAGAATAGAATAAAAAAAATTATAAGAGTTATACCGTTATATCTTGATGCTATTTCTTTATCTTGACTATAACCAATTTTACACTGATCTTAGGTATTAGATGTATGTATATACGCACACTGTGATAATGTACACTATATATCTTTGCACAATATCTTATTGAATAGATCAGTACAGAATAAACGATAATTCGTTTCGTGTGAGAAAAAATTAAAGTATATGTAAACACACGTTAACCGCTAATATTATATCTAGTATCATATATTGTGTGTGTGGGTGTGTGTGAGTGTGTGTGAGTGTGTGTGAGTGAGTGAGTGAGTGAGTGAGTGAGTGAGTGAGTGAGTGAGTGAGTGAGTGAGTGAGTGAGTGAGTGAGTGAGTGAGTGAGTGAGTGAGTGAGTGAGTGAGTGAGTGAGTGAGTGAGTGAG